AGTTCATTGGAAAACGAAACAAATCACTAATAAATTTATGAAAACAGTTCCTTTTTGAATCGATCTAAAAGTACTCGTTTAATTCGCGCACCAAAAACCAATAATTTCCGTTTTGACGCTATTAATTCGTGCACTTGAAAAAATAATTATTTTTACTACCGCGAATTAATCGAGTTTTTACGGTACTGCAGATGCAAGGCATGGCTAGCGAAAAACTCTTGTGACGCCGACGTGATTGCTATTGGCAATGAAACCCAGCTGTGTCACGATAAACTGTAATAATTCCTCCTCACTTCAGTCATCGTATTTGGAGAAGTAATATTCTCCAATCAACAGGCTCTGACTACTTCAGTCAGTTCCCTGGATGTTGGTGAAACGACCACTATTTAGAAATTATCGCTAACTTTACAAAGGCCGCATTGCCATCTTGAGCAATGCTTTATCGGAGGCGGCCCGGGACTATGGATTGAATACAACATGTATAGCAGGGTCAGCTAATGTAGGTCAGGTAATTGAATGTCGAGGTAATCGCAAGTCAAGCGAACCAAATGTTGAGGTAATCGCATGTTAAGCGAAACGAATGTCAAGACATTTGGACGTGAAATTAACCAAATCTTATAACAATTGAATGTCAAGATAATGTCTAAATAACTACACAATTGTAACATAATGAAACAATGACAAAATAATATCGTAGCAATTACACAATAATGAAATAATTAAAAAATAATGTTGAAATAATGAAACAATGGCAATACAATGCTGCAGTAAAAACACAATAATGGAATAAGCGCAAAATGTTTAAATAAAGACCAAATAACCGAATTATGACCAAATAATAACCAAACAAGTTTCCAAATAAAGACCAAACAACTAAACAATGTTCAAATAATGACACCAAGCTAATTTTGGTGGTATTCTCACCCCATAGGGTTACCCGGTATTAACAGCAAGTAGGAACTAAGTACATTCTATACTATGCATCTTACCTCGTTAGTATCTAGTTTGACTGTTGAACATTCCTCACTTCGGGGCTCTTCATTTTTCAATTTCAACTCTAATTTCTTCTTAGCAGGGGTCTGCTTTGGCGATGCTTTCTTTTTAACGCGTTTACCTTGCTCTTCTTTATTTTGATTTTCCTGTAATTCAAATGCAAACTCTGCAGGTGTAGGCGCTGTAGCTTCCTCAAAATAATCGAAGCCATCTAGAGAGTTGATTCGCGTTGCCGGTTTTCGTCTTTTTTGGGCGATCGTCGTCGTAGTTTTTTGAGTGCGCTTAGTCGGCGTGAGCGGCGGGGACAGTCGAGTATCATGGTCATCTGATATGGCAGTGGTCTCGGACGCTACTGAGTCTGTATCTGTGGTGTCACTAACTTCCAAATCGCTGGACGAATAACCTTCCGTCTCACATGCGCTACTTCGTAAACGAAGAAGAGCATGTTCAATGGGACCTACTGTTTTATTTTTCACTCTTCGGGAATACCTGGAACGGGTTTGTGGTAAAGCTTTCTTTGTTCGTGACCGAGTGGAACCAACGCTGGTTTCAGAACAGCTGCTTGCAGTGGGCGAGAGCTTGGAAATTGGTAGCAAAACACTGGGTGTATCTTCGGCTATCACAGTCGTTCTCTGAACTTTGCGCCTCTTAGTTGGTTGAAGATCACCAGTTCTTTTACGGGAACCATAATATTCGGTCACTCTGCACTGAGCCATGTTGTGCTTGTCAAGCTACTGAACTGAATTTAAAAATCTTTACACAACTTTCCTTTCCCGCGAAAGATGTTCACGTGACCACGCTAAAAGATAGACCTATGACCCAAATTTAAAAGGTCGTTTATTTGTTTATTTTTGTCTGGTTTCTCTTGTTTTGTTGGATTATATAGTTTTCGTCATGTATTTCTTTAAAAGTTAACTAACAATATGTGTTCATTACAACAGATTGTTAAACGCAATTTCCATTTTAATAACTTTACGTTTTGCAAATACCTGACGAACCTACACTCTGTAAAAAAAATCGCCCAAATGAAAACATCATTTTACCCAAAATATTTATAATATTATCATACTTCTAATAGCATATGTTTATGACCATGTTCTTTCTTTTGTTTTTTGTAACGTGCATTTTTCATCACAAATGTCACTCACTTTAAAAAATATAGTTGTCGAATAAACAGCTACAATCATGACTAATTTGTTTTCATTTTCATTTCCTGTGTTTTATTTGATTTTGTTCCCCGGATTCTTTACAATTCATGACAGTTTGAACCAAGTTTTATTTAAAATGGGACAGATAGAATGGGCGATGTGGGCTAATGAACAAGCACTGGCTAGTGGCGCAAGTAAGTACATGTTGTGACTTCAGTTGAAAGTTGTTGTTTTTTTAGTTTGGGGGTTTACTCGTATCAATGCTAGTATTTCCGGACCATTTAAAATTGGCAGAGGGGTGTAATATATTGGACTCTCATAACATTTGTTATAGCTTTCCCATGAATTTTTTTCAGAAGTGCTATGCAGGATATTTTTTTCTCGTCAACCCCGACCACCGTATAAAATACATTGGTTTTTTTTTACGTTAAATTCGAAAAACGCGATTCGCGACGACCACCGCCCTTTAAATGGTCCATCTCTTACTGCACCATCCATCATTCGCTTAGCATATTTATTTAGTGAATTAAAATTACAATGAACAACAAAAGACATATTATTATTATTTGTTTAAAAACATATACAACATAATTTATTGGTGAAATCTCTGAGATTGTCAGTTTGTTTGCTAAAAAAAATACATTTTTGTTACTCACTGTGCCCAACTACGTTCCGTGCCAAACTGTGACTACAGTGCTACTTGGATTTGTAGACATCTTGACCAAAAAGTTTCTCGACCCAAGACACTTTGACCCAAATTGAATATCTTGACCCAGACACCCTGGACAACTCGACCCACCGTATCGACGCAACCCTGTGTGGCCACGCGAACTTCTATCGAGTTCAACGTTGATAATGTCGCCCTTCACAACGAAATATTCTCACGATCTTACACATCGTGCTGTATTTGAATGATTGACATCTATTGATTCGAAACATCAGCCACAGAGGGCCTGATCGAACCGATTCTTTTTTTTTTTTTTATTCATTATGCAAAAATTACAAATTACAGACAAAACAATAATAACAGAAAAACATTTACAGATCATAATATTCAATAAAAGGCCCCCACTTCTTTAGAAACTTTGTTCTTCTGTTCTGAGCTTTCGCAATGATACTTTCCAGATCAATGGTTTGTTTTACACAGGATTTGAAACCTACAATGTTTGGCATAATGTTTTGTAACTTGCACTTAAATATATAATAACGACCTATAAGTAGGACATAGTAAGCAT